CAAAAGTCCAGGTGTTTAACAGTCTGATGGCCTGTGGGGTGAAACTGTCCCTGAGTCTAATGTAAACTCTAGTGGTTTTTTCCATCTATAACTGTATCTCTTATATCCCAGCAACCCACTGTGATGGTCCGACCCACTTTAAGTGCCGCAACGGGGAGTGTATCAGCATGGAGAAGGTGTGTGACAGGAAGCGTGATTGCAGGGATTGGACAGACGAGCCTCTGAGGGAATGTGGTGAGTTCAGACGTCTGTCATCCATAACTGTCTGCTTAATTACTGCTTTTTTGTTGTCAATGCTAGTCCTCAGAAAAGAAAGATGGTTAACCTTTCTTTCTCCAACTGCAGGCTCCAATGAATGCCTTTACAACAAAGGCGGCTGCTCGCATATTTGCAATGACCTGAAGATCGGATACGAGTGCCTGTGTCCTACAGGATATAACCTGGTGGAGAAAACACGCTGTGAAGGTAACAACATCCCGCAGTTAAACTTATAAATAGTCAACCAGTAATGCATATGGTTTGTGGGGTAGAGATGACGTATTCATTTTAGGTTGAACCAGAACTTAGCATCACATTTTTGCAGGAAATAAGATCTGTGGCAAACACACTTTTATTATACTTACATGTTTGATTCAGCAGGATAATCTCCACATATTAACACCACGTTTGTAATTGAAGCTAATGTTGGGCTATAAAGGAACTACAGCACGGTCACATGACTTCACGTCACCACCGCTAAGCTAAAGGTGGCTAATGTTGGGCTATAAAGGAACTACAGCACGGTCACATGACTTCACGTCACCACCGCTAAGCTAAAGGTGGCTAATGTTGGGCTATAAAGGAACTACAGCACGGTCACATGACTTCACGTCACCACCGCTAAGCTAAAGGTGGCTAATGTTGGGCTATAAAGGAACTACAGCACGGTCACATGACTTCACGTCACCACCGCTAAGCTAAAGGTGGCTAATGTTGGGCTATAAAGGAACTACAGCACGGTCACATGACTTCACGTCACCACCGCTAAGCTAAAGGCGGCTAATGTTGGGCTATAAAGGAACTACAGCACGGTCACATGACTTCACGTCACCACCGCTAAGCTAAAGGCGGCTAATGTTCGGCGTGATGACGTTTAATGGTCTCATTTTGAAATGTGTAAACAACCATCGTTTTTATGAGATATTGAAGCTTCGGACATTCACCAGTGGGGTATTTACTGACGCATTTGATGTCCTAATACACAAATCTCTTCAGCTTGAGTTAACCACAGACCCTATTTCAGGCAACTAACCCAAAACACAGATTCAGACAACCCTGAAATGCTCATTCATGCACAACTCTATTTGGGAACAGATGATCAAAACAGTGTTGCAATGTGCTTACTCTGATGCAACCTTTTCCATGTAACTCTCTGTGCTTCCAGAACAAGAGCATCTATTACAGGAAGGATGACTCAGAATATTGTTTTTGTTACACCATGTGTTTTTTTTAATTTAATGGTTCCCGTCTTTTTTTAAATTAGACATCGACGAGTGTGCCAACCCGGACACCTGCAGCCAGATCTGCATCAACCTGGTGGGCAGCTTCAAATGTCAATGTGAGGAGGGGTACCAGGTGGACCCGGCAACCAAAGCCTGCAAGGCCATCGGTAAATATCAGCTGCTCTGTCCAGAGTGTATTTTACAGTAATGTGTAACATTTAAAGATGTTTTTAAGATGATGAATAGCCTTCTTAACGGTCTCCTATTATACTATTTTTAGGCATATATTATAGGTCTCAGATAAAACCTCGATATCTTTTAACGTTTTGTACGATACACTTATTGTACGATATATAGACATTACCTGGAAACCTGGATACTTTTGTATGTTTTCTACTTATCGTATGGTATAGAACCTTCATCTTATTTACATTATTGACTTATTCTACGATATATGGACATTATAGCAAATCATTTTACTTTATTGGCTTATCGTATGACCTCAATCATTTCGTATCCGATTTATCCTACAATAAATGGACATGACCTCGATATTTTTTATGCTTTCAATTCATTGTATTATTATATAAATAGCTTAAAAGGGTCCTAAAATGACTCGAACATAATTTAATAGGGATGTAAAGATATATAGAATATCGCGATAAATAAATGTCTCAATACCGTCGTGAGACTGACTAAATATACCGCGATTTAAAAAAAAAAATTAAATATATATATATTTTTTAAACCTTTATTTAACCAGATGGTCCCATTGAGATAATCGATCTCTTTTTCAAGCGAGACCTGTCCAACATGGCAGCAAGAAGGTTACAACATGAACATAAAGAACAGATAACACAAAAGGACATCGTATTTACAGGGCTACATGTACATACCTAGAGACATTGACAAGTACCAACATTATATTTATATCTCGTCCTGTCAATAAGCCTCACCTTCTTGGCAAAAACTGTATTGTTTTTGAAGAGGTGGAGAGACAATGCACAGTTTTACCCACTGCTGTCACCATGGTCAAAGCATATCTCTCTGTCCCAGCAACATCAGTACCAAGCGAGAGAGTTGTTTCCACAGCAGGGTATATTGTAAACGCCCAAACATCCCAGCTTCTACCTGGAAATGTGGACATGCTTATATTTCTAAAAGATAACCTTGATGATGCTGAGTTAGAGAGTTTGAGTTGAGTTACTTGAAAAACTAAAGTGAAACTTGATTTATTTTATTGCAGGGTCTGATTATTATATTGTTGACACTTTAAAATACTACTATCCTGCTAAAATGCTGTAAAAGCAGATGTATTATTTAATAAAGAAAAAGAAATTCAAGTAAAAAAAAAAAAGAAATTCACATTTTTTTCCCTTTATTTTTCAATATTACGATAAATATCGTACCGTTGACTTGTTCTCGCGATATTATCGTACCGTGAGTTTTTGGTATCGTTACATCTCTAGTAAATACTTCCATGCCTGAATGTCTGAAGCTTCTATCTGTTCCGTAAATGT